ATAAATTTTAGTATCGTCTTAATAATTAATTCGACTTAATATTTAAAAATAGAACAATTTATTATTGGTTGAAAATGTTTACTGTGGCGTAGCATTTTTTTAATCATTATTTACTCAAAATCAATTTCTTATCCCGTAAGGTGATTTTAATAGCTTAGCCCCCATATCAACATAATAACTTTTTTTTTAATATAAACTATTTGACTTTTGATTATCTTTATTTTCTTTATCATTATCATAATTGTTATCATTAATTATATATAACATTTTACTCATTTATATAATCATTTTTTTCAATATATTTTTTATTATTATTCTTCTTTATCTACTTTAATTATCTTATTATTATCATCTATTGCTGATTATAATTAATATGTAATGATTTTTTATACTGTCAGCCTTTGTTAAAATTCTACAACATTTAAATGATCTATAAATAAAATCATTATCATTTTATTTTTATAATTTCTTAATATAAGTTACAATTATTAAATAAGAAAGGTTTAATTTTTCTAGTAGAAGTAAGATTATAAATTATAGATAATATCCATTTATTATATATTTTTTGACCTATAAATTAATTAATATAATTATTATTATTAATATAAAATAAAATATATAAAAATGGATTAAAAAGTAAATATAATAATAATTTTATCTTAGATTTAAAACTTTTATTAATTGTATTATCTAGTGGTTGTATTTTAGATATACAATCATCTGGAATTACAGCAATATTGATATCTTTTTCTACCAATCTATTTTAATAGAACTTACAGTATGATTACAAAATGAATCTAATATTAATAAAGATTGTGGATTACTAAAAAAAATTTTTAAAATTTAAACAGTTTCAATTCACTATAATATTTTCTGTTTATTTATCCATCTTTTTTTATTAATTTTTATATGAATGCTATATGAAAATTTTCTTTTGGTAATTTATTTAATTTAAAAATACAAATAGCTAGAAATTTACTACTATCAGCTATATATTTAAATACAATTAATCTTATGATAAGGTTAAGTATTAACATTTATTTTTGTATTTAATATTACTTTTTTTTATCTTTTTAAGTGGTTTTTAAATATTTTTCTAGTATTTTTAATTTTTTTGTTATTTTTAATATTTTTAGTGTTTATGATTATTTTAATTGATCAATAAATTATATAATTATATTAATTTGAAAATAATGATAAATCAATTAAAAGTAAAAGAATTCAAGATTAAAAAGATTTTTTAGAAAGTATTATGCTTTATTATAGATTAATTATTATTTTTTTATTTACTAAATTTTTTTCTTCTTATAATTAAATTGTAAATAATAAATAGTAAATATAATTTTTCTTAAAAGTTTAAATATTTATAAATTTATGTTTACTAATAATTTTATTTTTATTTTTAACTCTTATATTTTGAAAATTTATATTTTCTAATTATTTATTCTTTTTTTTTAAAATATTTTTTTATTTTTATTTTGTTTTATAAATATAATATTTATATTTATTTAAATTTTGTTAATTTTTCATTCTATTTCTTTTTTTAGTTTTGAGAAACAGAATATTAAATACTTTAAGTCAACATATTTATTTTAAATAATAAGATTTAATTTGTATTAAATATCAGTTAAAAATCACAATTTTTTATTTTGACAATGATTATGTTTATATAGGGATAATATTATATAGTAATAAATGTAAAAATTTACTTTTATTATAATAATCATAAATCATTGTTCTTGATCTATAATAATTATTTGTTTTAATTTACACATTTACTATAAGTAACAATCTTTTACATAAATGCTTTTACATATCTTTATTAGTGAATTAAATAACATTTTTTATTTATGTAACCATTTGAATGCATTATTTTCATTTTTATCAGTTTTTTTTTATATAATAAATTTTTCTAATGATAAATTATATTAAAGATACAAATTTTTTTAAACTATAAAGATATTAAAATCCTTATTATACAACTTAGTAGCAAATAGTACTAATTTTATAAATTATAATAAATCTATTAATTCTTAAATCTTTTAATAATATAAATCAATTGCAATTTATAAAAAAAAATTCTTACTAAATATAAGTAAATATGATACAGAATTTTAAAATATGTATATAAACTTATTATATATAAAAATATAGTATTATATCAAAATATCAATATTATTTTTTATACTTTAATATATGATTAAAATGCAATTACTTATTCTTATTTTATAAATAAATAATTTTACTTATTTTATATTTAGATTTACAAAATGCAAAATGTATTGAAGTTATATTTATAAAAATGTTATTGTGATTCTTTTTCATTATTTCTTTCATTAGTAATTTCAAAAGACACTAATTATAATTTTAAAAACAAATCTAATTCAGTTTTTTAATGTTTTTAATTTAAAATATCTTTCAAAAAAACGTTTAAAACTTACTTTTTCAAAGCAAGTTCTTAAATATTTTTGTTTTAAAGTATGACAACATATAAAATTATCACTTTATTGAAAAATTATCATATTCTTTAGAGAATGAAAATACATTTGAAATGTTATAAATATCATTTTGACTTTTTTGAAGAAAATTATAAAATAATTTTACAAATATAACATTAATAATGATTTATAATAGATTAAAACACACAAATTCAGCATTAAAAATGTATTCACTTTTATTTAAAAAATTAATTGAAATGTGCATTAAATAATTAATCCTGATATTTTTATACCAATTTTTAATGTTTAAATATTGGGTTATAAACATGAGTATAATGTATAATTATATGAAGTTTGTTTTTAATTTTAGAAAATATAGTATTTAGTTAAAACATCAAACTGTAATAAAGTCAATTTATAAATTATGTAAAAAGGTTGGAAATTCTGTACTTTAAATTTATTATAAATCTCATTCTTATTTTTTTTTACTAACATTTATTATAATATTAAATAATTATCAAGAAGCGGCATAAAATTCATTAATTTGATTTAGAAAATTTAATTTTATTAAATATGGGCGTTTTTATTAAATATCTTGGCCTTGTGTTTGTTTTGTGGCGAAGATTGTTTTGGTAAGCGAAGTTGGTTTCTCCATGAAAAAAATGATGAGGAACAATTGATTTTCTAATAAGCCTCATAAAAAGGCTGTGTAGAAGATTTTACAGCCCAAACTGCACTGCCCTATCCATGCGTTAAAAGTAACGTGACACAGTTTGGACAAAAATTTTACGCAGCACATTTACAATCAAATCTGTAATTGACAAATTAAATAAATTAAAATTAAAAATAATACAAATGATATATATATATATATATATATATTATGCTTTAACGTCAAAAGAAATTTTCATAATATAAACTAAAGAAATTGGGATCATATGACTTATTAGACTCGTTTATACCGTATTATATCGATCTAGCTTAATTATCGAAGTTATTGTTAGCTGAAGAAAGAAAAAATAATAAAGTAATTCCCGTATACATAAATTCTTTTCTTTTTTTTTTAAAAAAAAATAATATGATAATAAACGCGAATTTTGTATTAATTACAAACTTTACAGAAACCTTTGATTTTTTTACGAAATAGTCACGTGGTTAATTAAAACTTGTCACCAATTACCGTAGTTTCGATCTTGCGACTGCATATTCAAAGTCGTAAAAAAAATTAATAATAGCTCATTAAAATTTAGTTGCAAAATTCGTAATGTTTTAAAAAAAAAAAATTTATTAATGTTGAAAATTAATTGAATAAAAGTAATCTTAGAAAGTTATGCGAAGTTTCGGCAAGTACTTGAAGATGAATTTATATGAAAAATTACTAAATATTTAACGTTAACGCTTTAAATAATGTGAAATAAAACTTAATAAAATTTTAATAAATAAAATTTTCGAAAATAATTGCTTTTTTTGACGAAATTAAAAATTTAAATTTAATAAAGAAAATTTTAATTGGTAAATTTTCTAAAATAAAATTTAAAATGAATAAACACCATAAATACAATTTTATATTAATAAAAAAAAAAAAAGAAATTTATAATTGTAAATTGCTGACCGTTTCTGATATTTAGAAGTGAAATCGCTGACAATCGTCTTGACCTAAAACAGTTACGATAAATGCGTTATTTAGTCATAATTTCAGCATAGTTATAGTTATTATCTTTTTTTTTTTGACCATTCGGGCAGAACATAATTTTTATTTATAGTAAAAAAATTCTTTATTAATAAATGATAAAAAATATATTTTTTTTATTTTAAAATATAATCTATAGAATTATCAATAATAGAATTTACATATGCAAAATAAATGATTAAAATCAATCATAAAGGTAAATCAGTAAATTATAAAGTTATAGCACGTAACAATTTATCCATTTTGATATTAATCTCATCCACTTTGTTCTCAAGATTTTTAACTCTATTTTTTATGTCTTCATCTTCTTTCTCATTTTCAGAATTATCGTCATCATCAGATTCCATCTTATAACCATCTTCATCTGTAAAACTATAATCCCACCAAGACTCGTTATCATCATCCTTTTCCATACTAGGCAATTGATCTTCTATCATTTTTTCCTCATAAGCATTATATAATTTAATTTGCTCAGTTTCACGTTTTTTAACATTTGAATCCCATTCTTTATAACTTTTGGATTCACCTAAATAATAAATATATTTTGGTTCCGGTGATTTAGGATAGAAATATATTTCTTCTAACGCTTCATAGTCTGAAATTGATTCTGCACGAAATCTTAATAATCCAACACGACCTTTTTTATATGCTTCAGAATATACTCCCCTACAAAATTAAATTTTTTGATTTGTTACAAATGTAATTAATATTGATCAATATTCCAAAAAAAAGAAACTTACCCCATAAAAGCAATAAGCATATTTTGTAGAATAGTAATCAAAAGAATACAACCAAAGAAGGTAATAAATTTTACAGCCCAAAAGTCCCATATATCTTGTTGCAAAAACGCACCATTTAACCAATTGTATGTTGAGATGAATGAAGTAATATAATTCTTCGCTGGATTATCCTTAGTTCGATCAAAATCTTTTTGAATATGCCAATTAACAGAACCTTCTGTCATTAATGTAAAAGAGGATGTCATTTCCGAAAGGTTTGTAAACTCTGGATGTTGCAATAAAAGTAAAAAACTATGTGCTAATCCAGCAATTACAAGAATCATAAATAATAAAAATATCCAAGTCTCTTTGATAATATTCATCATAATATAAATATATTTTGCAGGTTCTAAAAATATTAATTGATGTAAAATTTAAAATATATAAATTTAATGAAAAGTATTAAATTATAAAGTATTATTACCTGGCAATAATCGAAGATATAATATCTAATTAAATTTCATAAGACGATATATTAGTTTTTTAATTCAAAATTTATAAATTTTTAATAAGATAATTACAAATTCAAACCATAGTAATAGCATCGTAAAGGAAATTGCAACAGTTATCTCTTGTGTTGTTGAAATATTAGCAAATGCATTTTTAGTACTAAACGAAGGAGTAACATAAATTGACATTATAACGATTGCTATAGAAATTGAAACTAAATCTACACAATTAAAGAATTTAAAATAATGCCTCCAACCATAATGATCTAACTGTTTATATTCTACAATTAATAAATAATTTCCTAAATAATAAAAAAGAATAAAGAGAAATAATAGAAACTTGCAAGTATGTCCTGTTGCTTCAAAATGTGCTACATAAGTTCCACAAATTATTGCAAAACAAGTTGCGAATAAAATATACATAAAAAAAAGCTGAATGAAATAATTTCTAGCTGGGCGCCATTTGTAATTAATTACTGCTTCCATTACTGGATTGTTAAATATATCATTATTATTTTCTAATCTAATAATTTGAACAAGTGGACTAAGTTGTGAAAAATTCTTTGTAATAGAATAACTTCGAGGAATAAATATCAATCTTAAAAGTTTAATAATAAATAAACTTTTGTAACCGTTTTTTATCTTTTGAGGTAAATTATTAACAGTGAATTTGTATAAAGGAACTATTTTAACAGTCGGAGAATAATATTCATAATTATTTGGAAAAATTTTTACATAAAGTTTTTTCAATCCTATTCTCAAATTATCTCCTAAAACTTTTAGATTAATTTTCTTTTTGCTTGTTGAAATGAGATCCGAAATTGGATCAAATGCAAAAAAATTTTGCTTTGTATTTAAAGTAATTTGATATCTTTTAGGTATAAAATCAGTATATTCTAAAATGTTAGATATTTCTATACCTTCCATGCATCTTTTATAAAATAATTCGCTTACTAAATGTTCTATTATAAAAGAAAAATTTTTTAATGTGATTATATTAAAAATGATATAACGATAAAGTACAAACCTAATTTATGAACATATAAATCTGGTAATGCATTTGAAATGGTAATTAACCATCCGGGATGGTCAGTTGCGTTTATTGCATAATATTCAAGTAGATATGTCACGATTAAAATTCTTCGGTTACGCTCTAAATCTGTAAGAAATTTTAATAAACATAATAACTTTATATAAATATTTGAAAATTTAAATTACCTGGTTTACATAATCTAATAGCTATTTGCAAATCACTTAATCTACTTATATCAATATTTTCCTTTGAATTGAAATTATTTATTTCAGAACTTGATTCTTCAGTAACAATAAAACGATTTATTCTTGGTATATGCAAATATTTGTTTTTTACTTTTTCGTCACCAAATAAAATATATTTAACAAGGGTATATGAGCCGCTAATTATAATTCTTGTCATAAGATTATAACGAATATCAATTAATTTCCAAACATCTGGATAATTTTTTATAAATTTCCAGATGATAACAGAAATATTAAATTTGATTTCTTCAAATACTAAATATATTTTTTTAAATACAAATTAAATTTTTTATTAAAAAAAAATGGATAAAATATAATAAAAAAAATAATTACCATGCTGATTGTCATAACCTACTAATTTGTTTCTTTGATAATATAAGTATTCAAGAGCATCACAAGCATGCTTTACAGGAATTACATGGTTATTATCACATGGCCATTGAATTTGTGTATGTTGATCATCCTTCCACTTAATTTTAAGAAAAAACCCCACGATTATAAACAATTAATTCTAATACTTGCAATGTATAATGATTTTCATAATCATTATTAGCCCAAAAATATTCAAGAATAAATTTGTGCCTTTTCTTCATAATTTTGCGCCATACTTGAATGGTACTTTTTCCAATATATAATTGTATTGATTCTTTTTGGTCGAGGTATATCCACTTTTTCTCAAAATTATCATTTATCCATGGTTCTTTATTATATATAAGAGGTTTTGCTTCCTTTTTTGAAAAATCCTGATGAAAAACACTGTGAATATTTTCATACTCCAATTCGTTCATTTTATTTGGTGTTCCCTCTTTGCTTTTATCAGTGGAAATTATACTATAAGGATTTAATTCTTGTATAGATTTGTTTCGTTTTATTTTATATATTTTAAGCATACTATCATATATTGATAATATAGAACCATTAGATCTTACAGTTACAAATTTACCAGGAATTCTTACATTATAAGAATTACATTCTTCATCGCTTTCTGATTTAATATTAGTGCAGAAAGATTGAAATCTATTCTTTGAAGAATTGTATAAATGCCAAAGTAACATCTCTTCATATTCGCTTTTAGACTTTTTAATGATTATCATTAATTTATCATTATTTTCAAATTCACAGGCAATTATTTTTGTGTTCTTTTCAAAACTTTTACTAATAATCTCTAAACCATTTTCTATAAGAAATAGAGCTATTTTTCCATATCCAGAAGAAAAGGCGATAATTTGTTTATTTTTTGAAATAGCTAATATAGGTTTGCTATACTGGTTTAAATATTTTTTTTCTTCATGTATATTAAAAACTTGCCTTATTTGCATGGTTCTTAAGTCATAAAGTTGCATAACTTGAATTCCTTCTCTGTATTGTTCAATATGAAAATAATGACCAAAAACAGAATTTTTAATTCGTGATATGCAAGGTACACTCTTATATAAAGTATTTAGTTCAATTATAAATCTTCTTGGATAATCAAAGTGTTCCAAGTTATCTAAATGATTGTCACAAAACCTAAGTCGATGTATTCCATTAGCATTAAAAATAAAACAATCTATCTTTGTAAATTTATCAGAAGAGGATTTATCATGAACAAACGAAACAACTCCACCGATGTTTAGTTCCTTATATTTATTGATTTTCCCATTATTAACATTTATTAATACCTTTTCTTTACCTTGTTCAGATGAACTTAAAATCATTTTATAAATAACGGTTTTTCCATTTAGCTGATTTTTGTCTTTTATAATTTCTGATAAATTTTTAATACTAGCATCAACTTGAATTGCAATAGGTTCCAATGTATTATTTAACTCGATTGGTTCTGCTTTAACTAACATATCTAATTCTGTTACACAAGAAATTGCTACGAAGATAACTTTTTGATTCATATATTCAACTTGATTTGATATAGCTAGCATCCATTTAGGAAATGATTTTTTGTTTTGTTGTTTATAATGAGATGTCATAGATTCTTTTTGAGATTTATATTCTTTAAAAAGATTTTCCTCGATATCATATAATATTGCATTATCAATTTCTTCATAATTATCAAATTCTATAATTTTAAATTTTTGAATTGCTGCGATAAAAAAAAAAAAGATAATAAATGATTTTACTATTAATAAATTTATTTGGAAATATTAAACAATAAATACCATGATTAAATATTAGAATATATTTTCCGTCTGGACTAATGGAAATATACCAATCTGAATTTCTTTGTCCTAAGTAATACCTAATTTTAAAACCTTTTTTTTTACAATAAGAATTTAATTCACATTAATATCTCGTCTTGAAATAAATAATGATGAGATGATTTGTCATAGCATAATAATTTTACAACTTACGATCTATATATTATTGATTTCATATTTTAAAAAAGATTAATTAATTTATATAACGACGAAGTAACGGTCAAAAAATAGATTACTTACGAACTATAATATTATTGATATTAATTAAAATTTAGTTATTTGATAAATGAAAATTAATGGATATGCGATTGAACAACTTACCGACTACGGTATAATTGAATATATAAAAGATTTAAGATTATAAGTTATCAATAATTGCATTAAAGATATAATAAAATAAAATAAACTTACAACCTATATATTGTTGAAAATAATAAATTTAATTAAAAATCAATTCTAAATAAATCGATAGGATGAAACTTATTACTTACTAACTATTTCGATTATTAAAATTCAATTAAAAGTTATTAATTTACATATCAATGACACGATAATATACAATAATTGATTGCTTACCAACTATAATGTAATAATTTAAAAATATTGTTAATATTATAGATCATATATATATTAAAAACGAAATGCCAATAATATTTCAAACTTACTTTCTTTAATTTTTGTTATTAAATAAAATGATACTTAGATCCATCAATTACACGTAAATAAAATTAAGTTTTAATAAGATTAAAATAACTTACTCGCTAAAGTTTACAATTATTTAAAAAATTTATATATCACATTTAATAACATTATTAAGTATAAATCTTACCGGCCAAAGAAACTAATATTATTGATCATCATTTATAGGAATAAAGTTAGGTTATAAATTTCTAACGTTAATATTATCGACAGAAATTAAAATAAACCTACAATTTATATTGTCTATAGTATAAATAATATTAACTTAGTTATGGTCATTAAATTACAAATAAGTCGAAAATACATAGGTAGAATTAAATACTTACTTCCTGTATTAAATATTTATTATTAATAATCGATGAATATAGTAACATTTATTAATATGATAAAAAAATTAATCTAATTCTCTATTTACCTCCTGATGTAGAAGCATCTTCAACATTCGAAATTTGTTCTAATATATTTCGAACCATTTTATTAAAAGTTTAGTTTCAGCTTTTAGCATGCCCCAATACCAAAATATATGTAAAAATTTAATATTATAATTAATAAATTGTCAATATTATTTACCGGCCATTATAAAATTTCGAGAAGTATGTTAACAAAAAATAAGGAATAAGCTTGTCCTCCAGAAATCATGTATAATAAATATTAAATTGTAACATCAATTTGTGTAACGATAATAAAATAAATGTAACGTCGGTCAAAGATAGGCCTTAATTAAGAAAGATTTATTGGTCGAAATATGGGAGATTTGCTATTAAAACATAGTAGCTTATCTCCATATAGGGGCTAAGCTATTAAAATCACCTTACGGGATTAGAAATTGATTTTGAGTAAATGATGAAGACGATACCAAAATTTATTATTTATAATTTTTTGTTATTATTATTTTTTTTTTTTTTTTTTTACGATATGGCACTGCCAATAACTTTATTAAATTTATTTTAGAAGAAATACAAAGTAAATCAATAAATCTAGACTAAGTACTAGCTATCCCCCGTAGTTATATTACAAACCCGTTTGAATCGACCGATCATCGTCTTCCCCCTCCAACAAGTCCACTAAGTATATACCTAATGAAGATTGCTATCAACAAGAGAAGAAAAAGAAGGAGTCAGTGCCTATCTAAAAATCCGAAAAGGTGTAGCCAAATTTATTCGCCATGTGTATCCAAGATTCCCAATGATGTGTAGGACTTGATGTCTCTTCGTGTCTCAAGAAAGAACTGGCACTTCGTTTAGTCTTATCTTTGATTGTGATACCTAATGAACGTTCCTTTGCTATCATTAAATTACAACGGTGTTTCCAAACATCCTCGAATAATTTTTGATGAAATATTATCAAGGTTTGAGTAATGGTTGAGAAACATTGACCCTTGTTCCTGGTGATTTTATGAACTATGTCTGTTAGATAGGAAGGAATGAGAGAATGAATAATATTGATGTAACCATCTGTTCTAGATGAGGGAGTAGCCAGGATTACATTTAAACAGTCTAGTAATTCAGGAAGGAACTCAGTAAGTTTTGAAATATTTATTTCTGTGAGGCGATAAATTAAATCATCTTTGGTAGCTTGAATAACAGTTTGTAATCTTGTAGTATAAGCAGGACAGGTCCAGAGGTATTCAGAAGTTTCTGTACCCAATCCACAGCCAACACAACACCAATGTTCATACAAATCAGGTCGTAGTATAGATAATCTTGAAAGGGTTGGTAATTCATCAACAAAGTTTTTTATAATAAAGGTCTTGAGTTTGCAAGAGGCAAATGAAGTAGTAAGTGAGGATGAGTTTAGAGAGAATAAAGACCAAATAGCAGGCCAGCTGATAGAGTGGTTTCTGGTAAGATGTCGGATATGACCATTTCTATTTAGATCAAGAAAATTGCAGAAGGTCTTGGCAGAAAAAAGTTGTTTGAAGAAACCTCGAATAGAGATTTCAATTGGTACGTTATCGAAAGTAAAGAGAAGTTCAGATAATGGAATATTGTTCAAAACTGGAATAATGGAAGAGGCATTACATCCAGCTTTGGCTAATTGGTCTGCGATATCATTAAAGTGATCTCCGGTATGAGCTTTAACCTTATAAAATTGTATATTAAGTTTCATTGTATCCACTATATTTTTAATAAGACGCCAAATAGAGTGATTGGGTATCTTTTCAAACTTTCTGGAGGAAAGGTCATTGTTTAAAACATATTTGGAGAAACCTTGAATTGTAGCTTGACTGTCTGAAAAGATACTAACAGAAGAAGAATATGGTGACACTAAAAGAGCAGTAAAGAGAGCATACATTTCAGCACGTGTTGATGAAAGCCAGTTTGTCAGCGAAGCCTTGAATATGTGATGATCATTAGATGAATCAATACAAATCCATCCTAGTCCCATTTTGCATAATTCTGTTTTAGGAGAGACTAAAGAACCATCAGTGTAAAATGTCAGGGATGTATTGTTAGCGAGTGTCATCCGTAAGGATTTAAGCTCAGTTAATGTTGAAGAAGGGAGAAACAATATGTCAATTAGATTGTTTGATGATGATTCAAGAGGTTGTTGCTCGAAAAAAGAAGCGAAGTAAGAGAGATAAGCTACCCTTGAGATTTCCGCAGGTGATTGTTGTAGTTGATTTTTAAAATTGTGAGCTTGTTTGTGAAATAGATCAATTTTAAAAACTCTATTTATGGGAATCGTGAATGTGCAAGTGCCCAAGCGCATGTTGGCAGAAAAAAGGTTGCAACCAGTACATTTGAAAAGTTGGCTGATGTTATCATTGTTTGTAGAGCATATAAAGTGTTGACAAACAAATTGATTATCAGTTGGGTTTTTTGTGACAATTTGACCAAATGAGGGGTTATTGATTGTTGGATTCCATGAAGCGATGAATTCCTTTTTACGATCATTTGAGAGAGGTAAATTAGTTACAAAACCATATCGTGGTAAAGGAGAAGTTAATCTAAATTCAGGTTTGAGAAGTCGTTGAATATTGTCTTCTAAGACAATATCTGCTAGTTGT